GCAGGAGCTTGCACGTGGTCAGGTTTTCTGTTTCTGCTGTTTTCAGAAGTAAGGTTTTATAGTTCTTATGTAGGAGGGGCAGAAGAAATAAAAGCGGAACCATCTGAGTTTAATTATCAGGATAAATATACTCTTGGTGACATAATCTTTGACCTGCAGCAGACAGGAAATCAAAACCGACGACTCATCCCGATGCTCGGATCAGCCTAATGTTTAGTAACAAGAAATGAAATAAAAGCAAATGAAGATCATCCACCTTGGTTTGGCTCATGTCGCATAAAGGGAGGTGTTAGAGCTACTGCTGGTCTGTCTTGCCTTTATGAAGGAAACAAATAACATTAGGGGTCGTTGCAGTTGCTGCTAATTCAGGCAAAGCATCTTGAGCCTTCTTAGTTCCAGTGTGCAGAGTCGTTGTAGAAGAGTTTCTGTAAAAAAAAAAAAAAAAAATCCCTATTAATTCTTGGCATTCATGTCTCTGTGAAGAAATTTGCATCTGTTGAAGGGAAGCAATCTAAATCTAGGGCAGAATCCCATCTGTGCCAGAGATATCTTCTCTGCACTGCAGCTCTCAATTGTGTATTCCATACTCATTTCTCAGCCTAATCGTAAACTAACACAGGTGGAATCTCTGCAAGCCGGAGGCTGCGGGCTCTGAATATCACTGGTGATATCGTTGAGTAGCACACTGCCAATTAGGAGTGTACAGGATGGTGGGGAGGGCAGGAGGACTGCTGCAGAGAGAGCATGATGTGCAGCTTGAGGCTGGAGCAGAGTCCCAGAGGTGAAGGTTGTCTTAGTTTTGGGAAGAGAACACAACAGCTACCTCTGGCTCTGCCTATATGGCTGGTCATAAGACTCCTCCAAGTGAACATATCCAGGCTTCAAAATAGCAGTTTTCCTGCAGGCAGGTACTGCTATACAGGATGTTTGCAGACCTCATCAAGTCTTTTCCATCTCTTCAAAAGAAGTGAATACTGTTTTCACCTCAGTCCTTCGTTTTGGTGCCTGCATTAGTCAGCAGTGCAGGGCTTTTGATAAGGTGCCTAAAAAGGTAGTGAGCAGTGTGGAGGGGAGTATCTCCATCTCCCAGCCTGAGAAGATTCCATCTGGGTGGCTGGATCCCAAACTGAGTCATCAAGCTGAGTGCCCAGGGAGCTCAAACTCAGCATGCTTCAGGGTTCTGCTGCATTGCAGAGTATGCTTGCTCCATGATTCAGTTTCTCCTCACTCCCCAAGCAGCTGGAAATGCCGAATTCTGGTTTTATGGTCATTTTTTATTAGTTTAAGAAGACTTTCTCCCATTTTGTACAGTTGACAAAACTTTGTCAGATGGTTAAAGGCATTCTGAAATTGAAGGAGTTTATACACCAGGCCCTGAGGAAGATTTTTTTTCTCTTCTGCAGTGGCACGATAACGATCTAATTCTGTTTATTTACAATTTGAAGGAAAATAATGTATGCAGCCTTTAGTAGTTTAAAAGAGAGATAAATAATTTTAGGAACTATCTCTGTATGACTAGAAATGACTTTTAAATCTTCTGACTGCAGTGTTTTTCATATTTAGTGAATGAATGTATGGAAATATGCTAGTTATACATTCTCCAGACAACACTGGCGGTGCTTCCATGCTTCGCAGTTCAGACTCAGCATAGGGTTCCCAGTTAAAAGTTGAAGTACTCCTCTTTTGTCTTGATAAGGGAGATTTGGGGAACAAATGAGTCTCCAAGCACAGGGTCTGTGTGTGGGCACTCAGCCTATCCATGGGGACACAGGCAGTACAGCCTGGCTGGAGCTCCTTGACCTGTCCCATTCCCACCAGGAGCAGCTGGACAAAGTGCCCTGGAGCCAAGGTGTGAGGTACAGTGCAGCACCCATCCCAAGTGCTCATGGTGGCTTCGGGGCAGCTGCGATGGCCCTGCAGTGCAGGGAACAACCTTGTCCTGTCCTGGTCCTCCAAGGCACATCCTGCATTCCTCCTCAGGTCTGGTTCCCGAAACACAGCTCCCATGCATTAACCACTCACTGTTCTCAGGCAAAAGCAGGTCATGTTTCCTGCAAACCTGAAAACCGTCTGGAGCACCCTGAGCTGATTTATGCATTCATATCTATGGAAAAAAAAAAAAGTAGTTTGGCTGAATTCTGCTTTGAATTTTGGGGTTTATTTCATCTTGGCACTCTTGGAAAATGAAGCAAAGGGAAGTAATTGCTGAAGCCCGAGAGTCACTGGCTGTCCATGGGCAGGATGGTTTGGCATTGCGCTTCTGAGCTTGCTGTGTGTTCTGCTTTTGTCCTGTGCTGGAGCTGCAGGGTGGGGAGGGCTCCTGCAGCCAGGAAGGCAGACACGGCATGGGTGCTGCTGAGCTGTGATCACTGCCCAGCACACTGTGTGCCCAGACCCTGCTATGAGCTACCTCATTTGGTTTGGTTTGTGTATTTAGTTAGAAAATTTGCAAGTATGTTCTTTGTGTCAGAGAATGAGCTAGTGAGTCAGAATAAAACAAGTCTGTTATTGTTCATGTATTACTATTAATCATTAATGTTATATGTTATTATTAATTGCTGTTATTAATATAATAATGTTAATCACGGATTTTAAAAGTTACACCTCTTTTAAACAAGATGAGTAGCACAGATTAGACAAGTAACTGCACAGCAGCATCAGCAATAAACAGGGTAGCTGCCAAGATGCACTTAAAATATGGAGAGGAAAGAGGAAAACAGTGAAGTGCGATAACAACAAAGCTGTATCTAACACCCCTCTGTCATATTGCTGAGGAGCAGATGCTTAGTGCAGAAGATGCTTAGAGCACTTGCTTAGTACTAGCAAGGCAGATACCCAGAGATGTTTCTCCTGGTTCATACTCCTGCAGGTATGCTTCCAGCATTCTGGAGATTTAAGCATCCTGATCTAAGGTTTGCATGTTGTGTTTAATAGTTCTTGATGGAACTTTTTTCCTCTGTGAATTGGTGTGCTTCTGGAGCCTGTGCCAGGCTCTGGGCTCTGCAGTGGTGGTGCTGAACTCCTGCTCTCCAGAGCACAAAAATTACCAGGTTTGCTTTTGATCCTGTCACCTGATAATTATGTGTGATGCCACATAATTACAGATCATTCCCCACTGACTTCTTCTGTGACACCCATGCTTTCTTGGAGTGTTGGGATAGTTCTCAGAAGAGCCTGGGTCTGGAAGGCACCTGGAAGCTCTCTTTTTCTCCACCTCACTTCTTGTCCTGCCTCGGTCTGTGTTTGCAGTTATACTTTGAGTCATTGCTGGGTATCAGCACTGATACATTTAACTCCTGGTTAGGGGCTGTGGTGAGAGCTAAGGATGCTTTAACCCATCAGCTTCCCCCAGTGCAGTTGTTTTCCCAAATCAAACAGAAGTGAAGCCTTCCCTTGTATGTTCTTCAGGCTCCAAAGGTGGCGTTGGTGAGCGTGAGGCAATACTGCAGTTGTCTGAAGAAGCCTTGTTTTTACTGGAGGTTGTATTTTATTTCAGCGGTCAAGCTTTGTCTACGAATTTCTTTCCTTCCCCAGTGGAGTTGCTTTTTGCGTAAGAAATGTCAGAATTTGCACATCACTGCACATGCATCTCATTGTTTTTTTGTCTTTCTATCAGCAAATTTTATACTTTCTTCCTCTGTCCAAGTGTGATAACTGGAAATGCAAAAGGCTTACTGTGCCTGCCTAGAGGTTTTGTTAGCTGGCGAGCCAATGCCCTTTTGGTCTCTCCTCTCACCTGCATTGGTCTAAATCGGGAGAAAACTGTATTCTGCAGCCATGTGACTAATTGAGAACCTGCCTGCACCTTCTCTCTGGGCTGTTTTTACACTGTAAATGGGGGGAGCAGGATCAATGTGTTTTTCCAAGCCCAAACACCACTCCTTGCCTTTGCTGTCAGCATTACCTATGATGCTGCTGGCTGGGGCTGCTTAGGGCAGCCTACACAGCTTTGCAGACATCCTCCATGTCCCTGCCATAGCTGTGGTGGCCCTGCAGATCCATGCAGCTTGGATGGGGCTTGTGCTGGTCCTGGGGCTTGTGCTGGTCCTGGGGCTTGCCGGTGGCACCAGGAACACCATCAGCCAATTGCAGCAGTTAGAGCATCACTGTCAAACAAGGTTTTGACCATAAGCATAATTTTCTCATTGCTTATTCAGTTTCAAATACATAAGAACAGACACGTATTTCCTATGGCAGTCTGTCTCTTTGTCTCCAATTTCCTGTGCTCAGCTCATGAAACATGTTTTTTTCTTAAAGAAAATAAGCAGTATCTGAAGAAGAGATGAAATGTGGTTTTCATTTACTATGCTATAGAAACAACAGATTTAAAGATTTCCCTTTGTGTTTATTCTGTATACTTATTTAATTGAATTCAAGGTTGATTTACTAGTTGGGAGTTACCATTAAAATAATTAATGCCTCTGTTCTGAGGAAAGTTCCTAAGGGCTGTATTTTCCTCAAATAATTTGGAGGACTTTCAGGAAGCTCAGCTGCAGAATAGAAGAGAGGCACCATTCTTAAATGGAATGCAGCAGGAATTAATACATTTGCTGATGCCTACAAATGTTCAGTTCCATTAAAAGCCTGTGCCATTGCTCATGCGAAGTAAACTGCATGGGAAAAAAATCCGGAATACCTCTCCTTGTGGGTGGATAATTTTTTCCATGTTGCATGCTGTGAGAGACGGAGGTACCTGGCTCCAGACAAGTCACACTGTGGCTGGTGGCATGGGCAGCTCTGGGCGGAAGGGCTGGGACTGGCATCTCGTGGTCTGTGCTGGCCTGGGGCTGGGTGGCTAGCAGCCTGTCGTGGAGCTGTGCATCCTGAGCTCCCTACACTGCCAGTGTGTAAACAGCACACGACCTTTTTTGCGCTTTATTTGCAATTGTCCGATGGTTGTCTGCTCTGCAGAACTTAAAGATGTCTGCATTTTCATATTCCTTTATCCTTACCACCTTAAAAATAGTCTTGTGATTGATGAGAGCTGGTTTTGTTTGCAGGTATAACACCTTGCCAAGCCGAAGAACGCTAAAAAATTCCAGATTAGTGAGTAAAAAAGATGATGTTCATGTCTGCATCATGTGTTTACGGGCCATAATGAATTACCAGGTATTTCCCTTTTTGTTCTTTTGGATCACATAACTGTTTTGTTGTTGGGAGGGGGGAGGAAAAGATTAGTGGCTGATTGTTGAAGAAAAACTAATGCAAAGGTTTAAATTCCTACTCAGGCAGTATGGCTGGGAAGCAATATAACACAGTCCTTGTGTACCCATGCAGATGATTTAGTACAGGTGTAAAGATACATATAGACAAGAGCATGTGCATGCTGGGCCAATTCCTGTTTGCAGTGATGGGCGCAGTTTGCACTAACTGATTAGACATGCAGCTACACAATTGAAGTTACAGTTTGTCTCAGCATTTAGTACTAACAGGAAATGCGTAAATTTTTCAGAAGAGCTATACACTGATTGAAGGTGCAAGCTTTTACTTTTGTTACATTTTTATGGCAAGGTAATTGCAGTAACTGCAAGTCAAAGAATAAAACAGACCAAAGCTAATCTTATTTTCAAGAGGTTTTTTTTTCTCTTTAGAGGGATGCTGTGATCATATGGCCTGCCCACGTAGCTTCAGAGACTTGGGATTTTTTGCTAAAACAGTAGTAGCTAAAAGTATGTGCTTCAAAGAAAGCCTGTGGTGAACACTTTTATTACAAATTGTACAGTCATACAAGGTATTTGTAATACTGCTGTGTATGTTAACTCTGCCCTTGGGGATACCAGCTCCTTGGGATTTACAGGGTATCTTACCTCTGATGGGAAGGATGCCAACAATGGTCTTGTGCTAATAACCAATACTGTGTTTTCCAAAGGAATTCTTTTTTCATTTTTTAAGAGCAGAGCCAGCAGTACTTGTGCAAAAACTGCATGATGCAGTTGCTGTATGGCAGCATGTGTCCTGGAAAAGAAGAGATTTTGGCCGCTGAATTGCAAAATCCTCTTTAGAGAGTTAATTATATAGTTTGCTGTCAAAATTTAAAAGGAGCTGGAGAGGAGGAAAGGAGCAGCAGAGGGGTTGTTAATGGTGTAGGAGCAGCTCTGGGACCCCTTTTAGTTGGCTGACATGGCTAAACCAAGTACTTTTGACACTGTGGCAGAGCAGTTGTTAGGCACGGTGGTATATGGAAATGTTCTGGCTGATTTAGTAAACTCTACAACATTTTGTTTGGCTTACAGTGTTGTGATAGACTGCCTTCAGATATGGTCAGAGATATGTAATGTGTTGGATTTTAAAAGTAATAATTTCAGTCTCAAAACTGAAATAATATTTTACCCTTCTCTTTTCAGTATGGATTCAATATGGTCATGTCGCATCCACATGCTGTTAATGAAATTGCACTAAGTTTGAACAACAAGAATCCCAGGTACGCTGCACTTGCTTTTAGAAAGTTTAAGAAGTAGGCAAATAAAGAGTACCTAAAGTTTTGCAGGGGTATGTTTATGAATAAACCCATAGCAAAAATCAGAATTCATTCTGAATTGGCTTAAATCTGTGTAATTGTGCAAATAGATGAGCAGTTGCCATCTAGTTTCACAGTCTGAGAGAGCTGGGCTCATTCAGCCTGGAGAAGAGAAGGCTTCAGGGAGACCTTAGAGCAGCTTCCAGTGCCTAAAGGAGCCAGTGAGAAGGCTGGAGAGGGACTTGTAACAAGGGCCTGTAGGGAGATGACAAGGCAGAATGGCTTTAAAATGGCAGAGAGAAGATGAGACACTGGCACAGGCTGCCCAGAGAAGCTGTCACTGCCCCATTGCTGGAAGTGTTCAAGGCCAGGTTGGACAGGGCTTTGAGCAACCTGGTTTAGTGAAAGGTGTCCCTGCCCGTGGCAGGGTGTTTAGAACTGGGTGATCTTTAAGGTCCCTTCCAGTCTAAACCTTTGTATGGTTCTATGACTCATAGAATCACAGAATCAGAATAGTTAGGGTTGGAAAGGACCTTAAGATCATCAGGTGAAAGTTTGGTGCTTAAGCATTCCAGCAATATTGCAGTGCAAAGCAGACCCTGCTGATAATGAGCAGCTTAGCATGGGATTTTCCTGAAGAGTAGGAAAATCTTTACAGAATTTTGTCTAAAAGTTCCTTAGGTTTGAAATTTTTCGTTCTGTATTGGGTTGCTGTTCAGCCACAGCAGTGATGTTGTAATTGTGCAGGGGAAATGATGGCTGCGAAGCTATGTCCCCTCTTTTCCCCCACACATCTGTGACCCTGGCAGCCACTTCCAGCAAAGCCTGGAGCCAAGAACCTCTTGCATGTCTAATGAAACCAAATCTGACGTACTGATGTTTGCAAGGAAAGGTAAAACTAGAAGATGAAACAAAACTAAAGAGCACTATATATGTGTGTGTGTATCTATATATCCTTTGCATTGGTTGTCTGCTTGTCTTTCACTGCTTGAAATTTTGTCCTGATGGAAGTAGGTACTTCCTTCCTTTCTTTCATTTAGCCCTAAGTCAGCAAGCCTAGGAGCCTAGGCATGGGATAAATGGGAAGGGTATAGGAAATTTATTGTTTTTATCAATTTTGGTGTCCTGTGCCTGGAAATCATGATCAAGAGAGCCGGAGTTTTAATTTTTCGAAGAAGTGGGTTATATAAATTTCTATTTATAAAAGAAAAATTACTTTCAAATCTGGCTGAAGACAAAACGTAATGTTATTGCTGTTCCAAACTGATTTCTTTTTTGTTTTAGCCCCATCATAATTCTTGAAGAAACCTGAGGTTTGATTGCTTAGGGTTGGTTGGGGTATGCAAAAAGGGACGCAGCAGCTCTGAGAGATGCTGCAGAGGTGATCCCATTCCCAGACCATTCATGCTGCTAGCTGAGTGCTGCAGGATTTAGCAGGCCAGGTGAATGATGACTGTAGGGACTCCCTCTTCTCTGGTTGTGCCCATATGGATGCCACAGACACAGCTGTACCTGTCCACTCCCTGTCTCCACCCCAGATGTGTGGGCAGCTGGTGAGTGAGTGCTCTGGGCAGCACCAGAGACCTGGGCATCCCCTGAGTGCACTGCCCACAGATATCACCCTCCCCTCTCTCCACACACACAGCTCCTAGCCTGCCGTTGGAGGGGATAAGATCTGTAGTAAGAGCTCCTTGATGCTATCTGAAAGAGCTTGAGTTTTCTTCTTGTGGCAGGAAAAAAAAAAAAAGGATGAGTAAGAATTGAAAACTATACATTTAAAATTTCCTAGGAAAATGAACATTTTATCTGGTTTCCAAAGATAACCTTGACACTTTGAGAGCCAAAAGGTATTTCTTTTTCTGTAACATCTGGTTTGAGTAAATGCTTTAGCATGAGACTAATTTCATGTGTCTGCATGATTTTACTACCTGCTCAAAGCTCATCTGGCCATAAAGTCCAGTTGGTGCTTTTACCTTACGTGAACCCTGTAAGAAAATACTGGGGATGGTTTATATTAGGGTTACACTGAGTCTGTTGCATGCTTTTCTCTCAGTACTCTGTTGTCTTCCCTCATTAATATGCCTGTGTTGTTTTCCCTCATTAATAGTGCTGCAGTCAATGAGTTGCCCAGATTTCTCATTCAAGAGGGGAAAGACATGCTAAGGCATCCTATATTTACTGCAGTGAACCATGTCTTTTTTTTTTTAATGGCTATCAATAATACGAATTGTAGAAAATAATTCAGATTTGTATCAGGAGAAATACAGATTTGAATTATAAGCACATTCATTAAAAACTGGGCTTAGTGAAATGGGCTGTGTTGCCGTGAAGACTAATGGCTGATGTGTGGTGATCCTGGCTTGTGTAAAACTGCCTTCTCTTTGGGTTTGTGCAGGCGAACTCTCTGGGAGAACAAGCTATCAAAGGCTGATGTTGTTTGCCTTTACCAGAGTTATGCAACTGCCTTTGGTTTGCTTGAATTTCCACAAATGCAGTTTGTGATTTAAAGTTTTGCATGTTTTTAGTAGCATTAAACTGGGGCAAAGCTGCATGATCCTGGGAGAGTCAAAATGCCCTGGATGATGCATCTTGCAGGTTTACTAGTTTTTGGAGATTTAAAAATACACAGGATGTAAATCATGTCTCCCTATATCTCCACATCTGTTTCCAGCAGGTAGAAAGAAGGTGGTTCAGCACATGATGATCATTGACGGTTACTGTTTTGTTTCTTCACAGGACAAAGGCCCTTGTCTTAGAACTTCTAGCAGCTGTTTGCCTTGTCAGAGGAGGACATGAAATCATTTTATCGGCGTTCGATAACTTTAAGGAGGTACTTTATTCTGCTTTATTAGAATTTGGTGTGTGTTGATAGTCCTCTTACTATTGGCTATGGTTTTCTCATTCAGCTAGATTTCCTAGAGTAAAGACTTTCCAATACCGTAGATTTTCCTTAAGTCACTTTGATTTGCAAAGAAGTAGACAGTGGTGTCAGTGCCATCATTTTGTTCATGTTTGGGTGTAAGAGCCATAATCCCAACAAGATGAATCCAGACTGTGAATTGCTCCCTTTACATTTTGGTCAGTCAAGCTGTGTTCCTGAAGTGAAAAATTGATGAAGGTCTTGAGAGTTTTACTCCAATTCTTATGTCTCTGAAACAACCAGGACTGGTGTATAAGGTCTCCCATTTTCAGAGGTGTTTACAGAAGCTCTTGAAACCCAAACCTCCTGGTTTTACTATCAGTAGGAATTTTATTTGTGAATAAACTACAAAATCAAGTCTCTGTGATGGAACACTGACTGCTGAAATCAATACAGGTATTCCAGTTCGCTCAAGTGGGACAGAAATGTGTCATTCATAGGTGTATATGTTCAAGTGTATCACGTTTGCATACAGTAGTTGGTGGGATTTGAGAACATTGTATGAAGGTTCAGAAGCACTAGTGGGGGAATCAAGCCCTAGAAAGCTGCTGTTATAGTTTATTTTGGATATTGGTTATATGTGTGAATATATTATCAAAGAAAAAAATGGATCTAGACTTTCCAGCTCAAAAATTGTTAAGACTTGATGAGTCCTGACTGGACTGTGTATAAACATGTAGCATGTTTTTCCTTAATGCCGCTGTTCCTTTAAGTGGGTTAATGCAGATGATCAACAAGCCAAGTTGTCATTTTTTTTGCTTTTTTTTTGTTTGGGGAATTATTTCTGGTTGGGAGATACCAATCTCTGATTTACATTCCCTGTAAATAATTGCATGTTGTAGACAATTAGCTGTGTTTCTGAGGTGCTCATCATTATACAGAGCCAGAACAAAAGGTCTGAAGTAATCTCCAGTGCAGGCCTGTTGTAGAAACCTCAGCTTTGCAAGACTAAACCTGTCCTAGCTGTGTTGTGTGTGCAGAGCTACTGAAGGAGAGAGATAAATGGGAATGGCACAGCTGCTGGGGAGGCTTCCCCAGCTGTGAAGCAGAAGTCGAGCTGGAAGTGTTCGTTGTGTGACCATGGACAAAATTTTGCTTCTGGGCTATACCAGTGGGAGGGATGGTCAGAACATGGAAATAAGACATTCTGCTTCCAGCTGGGGAAAGGTCTTCAGTCCTGTAGTGCAGCAGAGAACTGGAACTTGTAGTTTGGTTCTTTAGTTTATTCATCTGTAGCCTTGGGCAAGCTGCCAGTATCTTATTCTTTGCACCTTTCTGAAATGAAGGAATCACGGAAGCAAATGCAGATGAGGTTGTTAAGAAGAACAACTGGGTAATATGAGAGAAGCGCTTTAAATGGGGAAAGTGCTGTAAATATGCAAGGTACAATGCTGTTATTCCAGTCTTAAATTCTTCTGGCAATATACTATAGAAGAAATATGACTCATTAGGGAGGATGGTGTGAGGGGTTACTGATAAACTGGGCAAAACACCACTGCTTGAGATGGTCTGTAAGCCTCATTAAATAGGCCCTTCACATATCACAGGGAAGGATGTATACAGTCCCATTTACTTTCCTGCCTTCCTGATATCTTTAGTGAAGTTTTTCTCTGTCATCTCTCTTTTCTCCTCCTGACATTCAAAAGTTCCTATGTAAAACATTCAGTTTATCTGCCATTATTTACTTATTCCATTCCTGTTTGTGCTTGATCGAGTTGTTTGCTATAGCAGAACTGTTGCATATTGCAGGTGAAGTGAGTTTGCAAGAAGGGGATTTCACTTTTCTTAATTCTGCATTTAGCTGTTCTTTGTATCTAATTATGCTGTTGTTGGATGTTGCAGGTGAAGCGAGTATGCAAGAAGGGGATTTCACTTTTCTCAATTCTGCATTTAGCTGTTCTTTGTATCTAATTGTGCTGTTGTTTTCCAGTTTCCTCCTAGGCAAGTTTTCAGTAATGGTTTCAAGTTTTCATGTTTATAACTCGTTCAACTGGTATATTGAGAATCTCTCAGTTGCTGACATATAAAGTACTCAGGGTTAGATTTCTAGCAGTATACTTCCAATTTAAATTGCTGTAAGCTCAGTAATATTTGTGTGGCTTCTGTAACTATGCGTTGCAGGGCTGCATAACTTTTCTGTGGTCTTTCATCAGGCACTGTGTGAGTATTTAGGACAGATTAGACTTGTTGAACTAGATCTGTGCCACTCTATCTCCTTGCCATAAAATAACTTCAAAAGAAACCTGAACTCCTGCCTTACACTTACCCTGTAATAAAGTCAGTAGGGAAAACAGGATATTTTGGACCAAATTCTGCTCTCATTTACATTAGGTTGAACATCAAATATTTCATCAAGCTTTGAGCTTTGCTCTGATGTAAATGAGAACAGAATGTGGTTCTCAGGGTCTGAGCTGGAAAACCACAGTTGATATGAATCTTGTCAAGAATTCTTTTTGAAAATGACTTTTCATTTGAAAATGTTTTTACAGGCCAGTCTTGTTCTACTTGGGCCCAAATGGAGGACGGTTTGTTTTGTTAAGCTGTCTCTTGAAAATTGTTTTTGTCCAGTTCCTTCACCTGAAATCACTGATTCTTGTGCTCGGGTTGTTTCTCTTTGCAGGGGACTTGGCTCTGCACATTACAGATGTAGCTTGGTGCTCGCTTTTCAGTACAGGGTTAAGATCATGTTGTACAAGTCATTTCTGAAAACAGAGACATGGGGCTATTAGGAAGCCACCAAGAAGGTACAACAAACAAGAAGCTTGAGATGGAATTGAATAAAGCTGAATTCAACAGGGGAAAAAAAATACAGAACCATTGTTACTGACAGGAAATAGAGACCAGGTTAGGGAAGGAGCTTCACGTAGTTGCACTGGTGGCAGGAAAAGTGAGACCTGTGTTTCAGGCCAGTGAGTGGCAGAGCTGTTGAATACATTTTTTTATTAATTTTGCCAAAAGGCAGGAAGCAGTTACAATGAAATCTATGTCTGCTGTACAGAATGAATTGAGAGTTTTAAGGGACATACCAGTTCTCATCTGTCTTTGTATTGTGTTGTGTAATGTTGAAGGAGTTTGCATGTGGATAGTACAAGCAGAGGATGGTTCAGCTCATTCTTTCCTAGTGCACATGTCTGCTTTCTGCTCCACGTTTTGGAAGTATTTGTCATTAACAGATAAGCAGCTTCCAGATCTATGAGAGAGAGATGCCCCAAATGTACTCACACCTTCTGGGTTTGGTTGTTCCTTGCAGAGCAGTGCTGACGTTGGTTGAATCATGCTCAGTTTCCAGCTTGAATTCAGCTCTATCCATTTTCAGGAAGTCTTCTGCTATATGGGAAAGAAAGTTCAAATTAACCTGCAAAGACCCTGACACTATGTGTCCCTGAGCAAGGTGGATTTTTACACTATCCCATGTTTCTCTTTTGAAGATGTTATTTTCATAACTCTCATCATTTTTGAAGTCTAGGTGCTTCTTAGCCTCTTCTTAGCTATTGTCTATTATGTGACAATAAGCCTCAGCTGCTTGGCTAAGTTTGTACTTGTGGGATGGTCAGGTCTTGCTTGTGAGGAGCTTGATTAGCCAGGAAGCCAGTAGAAGTTTTGGGTTAGCTGCAGCTGTTCTGGGTGTCATCAGGCCTCAAACAGCTTCTGAGCTGTTCCAGAGCATTGGGGTGGTGCTGGAGGCTGTTGCTCAGCCCCATTGCCAGGAGCAGGACTGCCTTTGACTACTGCAAGTGGCTTTGAGCGTGCTCCAGCTGCCTGCACTCTGCACCTGGGAAACTTCCTTTTTTGGAGTGATGCTGGACTGAATTCTCCTGTATTTATTGCAAATAGTTGAAGTTACTGTGCCACAGGTAACGCATAACTTGCAGGTGTTTGCTATTCCCTTATCTTTTTGACCCTTTGTGGCCTGCTGTTGGTTCTGTTTGCAGCCACCTCTTATTCCCAGCACCTTGCGCTGAAGGCAAACACTGCTTGAGGTGGGGTATTGCAGCCTTGACGGGCTGAGCTCCTCAGCATAGCCACAACCCCTGCCTTTACCCACTTGCCAGCGGGCTTCCTCAGCAGTGTCTTGGTCCTTTGTGCTTGTTTCCATGGATTTGTGAGAACTGGCTACACGTTTTTATCCAAGTTACCTCAGATTTGTGTCACAGGACAAGCAGATGCATTTCAGCAGAATGCCAGGGGAAGAAAGGAGAGCAGAGTTAGCTGCAAGACAGCTTTAGAGGAGCTCCAAGAGTCACAGACCAGATGCTAAGAGCTTGTGCCCCACTTAAATTGAAACAGGCTCAGGGCACTGTTGGAAAATAAAATGTATTTTCCTAATGCTTATTCAGAGTGGTTAATTCATTTTAATAGTGTGATTGCTTGTGTGGGAACACAGAGAATTAAGCTGGTCTTTTACCACCAAGAATAAACCTTTGTTTTACCATTATTTCATTGCTTACTCCCCTTACTGTTTCCTGGAAATGCTGCTTGGAATTTGCAGAGGTGCACTACTGGAGCTTAGACATGATTGTGTCCTGGTAAATCTGTCCGTGGCCATCAGAAATGGCGAGAGCCAGCATGATGCAAGTGTGTGGTTTCTCACACTCCCTTCTGCTTACTTCACATAGATGTGGCATAGAGACAGTGCTGCTTAAACCACAGCATAACCATGAGGTGGTAACTCACTCAGAACCCAGAATGAGCATTGTTCAAAGCTGCCCTTGGTGCCTGTTTACTGACATCTTGCCATAATCAAACTGCTTTTGTTCATAGCTGCCTTGTCAAGGAAGGATGTTTTTGTGTTGATGAGATGCTACAGGTTGAGAAGATCTTTTAATCACCACTGCCATGGACTGGATACTTCTAATATGTAACTTGTATGCCAAGAGCAAAATACTCAGGAAATGTTTTACTGAAATTGA